GAAAAAGGAAAAGCCTTTAACTTTATAAGGTCCTCCGTGACCTCGGCCGGTTTCATGCTCAAGCAAACAATATGGAATTGCTTTAAATGCTTATTAGGGTCCTCGTTCTCTAACCCGTGATATGTGGGTAAGAGATGGACCAAGCCAGTCTTAAGAACAAAGTTTTGATTACCTGGCGGATACCTGATACAAATTGGAGTTTGAGCAACGTCTTGAGTTGCCAATTGACGTAAAGTCTGTTCATCGGCCATGTTGACGTTCGGATTTTCCTCCTCTTCTTCATCAGATTCCGTCTTTAGTTCCTCTACTTCGCTTTCGGACTCGGATGGTAATTCAATATCCTTCCAGATGTTGATTACCGGTGAACTTGAAGATTCGCCTTGCGCCTTCCGAAGCCTAGCTAGCTTCCTGAATCGCTTGGCTGTCCGTTCGATTTCTGTGTCTATGGGAATAGGCGTACCTGTACGTGACAATCTAGGCATAAACCGTTAGAAACACCGAGTCCCCGGCAACGGCGCCAAAAATTTGATGGATGCCGAGACCACCCGATAATAAATTCCAACTACAAGCTAAATTACAACCAAAATTGTAATAGCGGTAAGTCGGGTCGAATCCACAGAGACTAGGTTTAACTTACTATGTCTAGAAAAATCAAATACAAAGCGACGACTTAAAAGTAATTAAAAGGGGGGGGGGGTTTGGATTTGATTAATTAGACTAAACATGCGATTAAAATTTATTATAAACAATGAGAACGAAATCCAACATTAGATCACTCTCGATATGATGTAAATACTTATCAGCGATCTCGCAAACGTAAAAAGATAGGACAAGCTCAAGTCGGGTATGGTTATCAACAAGCTCTAACAACCTTCGTTTTCTCGTAACTAGACATTAGATAAAATCAGTTCTTTAGCTAAATCTTAACTACAAGTGGAACAATGAACAAGCTCTCAACATCCCAAACGTAATTAGCTTTAACGAATTAGAAAACACCGACTCAAATAATTAAGCTCATATGCTCGGCTTAATGTCACTTTGATTATGAGATTTCAAGAACTCAAATTGAAAACTTTATTGAATTCAAAAAGTTCCATTGTTACCCTATCAAAGCCACAAGACAATTACGTATCTAATGTTTTGAATAACAAGCATTCATAGGACTGTTAACTAATCGGCCAATTTAATTAACGTTCAAATGAAATTAACGATTAACCTAGAAATCACACAAATAAACTTGTCCCAACCAATTACAACGACATCTCACAGTAGGAAAACATCAAAATCTAAAGTTAACTAATGTTGGAATAAATAAAATTAGCCAGACATCGCTAAACTAGGTTACCGACTCAAAAGATTGTTAAAGATTTACCGGAAGAATAACGGGAGATTGATGAGAAATCTTGCTCCTTCGATCGATGCCTCTCCCTCTTCTTGCTGTCAATCGACAGCCCCTCGATAACCTGCTGTCCTCGACAGCTTTCTTTTCGATGACATCCCCTTCCTCTCGACTTTTCTCCCAATCAAACCACCTCCTGGACAGCCTCTTTGCTTCCTCTTTTATCCACCGACTTTGCTCCCTCGATCCCTCTCTGCCCACGTCTTCCGTCTCGCTGCCCACGTCTTCCATCTCGCTACCGATTTCTCTCGATCTCTTGCACCTCGTTCTCTCCCTCTCGCTACTGATCTGGGCTGGGCAGCAGCCCTGCTTCTCTTCTTTTCTTTTCTCTTTTCACGGGCTGTTGTTGCTGGGTTTTTATTTTTATTTTTTTTATGTTGCTGGGCTGCTGGTGCTGTGGGCCTCTTTTGTTGGGCTGTTTGTTGGCGAGGTCAACAAGAAAACAAAAGAAAAAAATAAACAAATGATCAATTTGTTATTTTTTTCTTTTCCAACTTAAATTTCCTCAAATAATTAAAACTAAATTAGAACTTTTAACCATCTAATTAATTTTAATTATTAGGAAACTTTAGCATAAAAAATATATTTATAATTGACACTTATCATGATTCTTAGTTTAAAAGTTTCATATAAGTGTTAAGTTTATAATCCAACTTGAATTTCTGCAGAACACTTAGTAGAACTCTTTAAATAAGTATTTTACTAACATGGTGTAATCTGCCATTCAGTTGTGATATATTGTATTGCATAAATTATTTGAATCATTATTGCATGTC